TGTCCTTAGCTTTTGAATTTGATACTCAAACTTAAGGACTGCATGTCCTTAGCTTATGAATTTTGAATTCAAACTTAAGGACAAGAAGTCCTTAAGTTTTAAACTTGAATCTATAAGTTAAGGACAGTTAGTCCTAAAATTAGTCTTACAATCACAGAAGTTAAGGATGTAGTGAAACACATTAAGAGACTTACTCTTTTCTACGGCCTCTCCTTTTCTCCTTGCCCAACCACACAATGAATTTCTTCACTAATTTTTCATCTTCTGTGGCATAATGAAAAATACACCTACGAGTATAGGTTGATTTTATCCAACCTGAACTCTTCGGAGTATTTTGATTGTCTGCCTTGGAACTTACTGATTTTCCTTCCTTATCAAAAGGAGATTTCAACTGCCAGCTTAAATTCTTGTTCCTTTTACCTTGACCAAGTTCTTCTTCAACATTTCCTTCACCCTCCATAGTCAAAGTTGCATCAATGTCCATTTGTGTACTTGGAGGAGTAAGAGTAAAAAGAGAAAATGACGGATCATCATAACCAATACTGTCTCTCTTTCTTTTCCTTGTATATTGGTTAAGATCGTCATCATTGGTGTCCTCTTTGTTTTCCTCTGCTGGCGACACTATATATACATATTCATATTAGTTTTCTGCAAAAGGTCAAATGAAGAGACAAAATTTCAATTGTACATATAATAATTAGGGCACAATCAGTACCTGTCTTCTCCGCAGTACCTTCTTGTGTTTTTTCAAGAGACAACTCAGCTAAGATATTGCGTGCAGCATTTTCTTTTTCTTGCAATTCCACATTTTCTTTATCTTGCAGTTGTTCACTATGATCTTTAGATTCTTGTTGACAAGATTCTGTAAAACTATTTACAAGAGCTAACATGTTAATAATCTTTAATTAAAACAAACATATATAAAATTTAAAAAGTACTGCCTAACCATTTGCAGTATCCAAGATCATTCCAGATACATCATCATCATCACATGTTGCATCTATAGATTTAGAACCAATCTCACTTCTGCCTATGTCTTGAGATTGTAGTCCAATTTTCTCTTGATACTGCACTCCAGCTTCTTTGCTTGCTGCTTCAAAAGATACTGTAACATTTGCAATTAATACCCATTCTAATAATTCACTAAAATAAAGATACAATATATAATGAAAATTTTATCTAACCTTGACTGGCACAAGTTTGAACTCCAAATTTTTCTTTGTATGACAGCGGTGTAGAGAGATCATACGTTCCTTCTAAGCATTTGCATACAATCTCGCTGACACTTGTCCCCAATGGACTTGTTAAATCCTC